CCTCCAGACCGGCAAAAGTCCACAGCTCAGCCCACCTTTCTCTTCACCTTCTCCGTTTGTTCCCCAGCCACACTGAACAGTCCTCAGTGCAGTCCCTAGCTAGCAGGGTGATTTTTAGGTTAATTCTTAAGTCCTACCACCACAGGAATCTGCGAGAGCCCTGTCTCTTTTTCCTATTACAGTTTTGATGATAATTATTGTTAGTTGCCACTGAGTTTTTTAGCTCCAACTCATAGCAATGCCATAGACAATGGTTCAGTTTCTGGTCTAGCACCATCTTCATAATCGTTTGTATTAGCCCACTCTTGTGGTCATCATACATTTTGAATGGCTTCCAACATTTTTTAAATATTGTATCAGACAATATTCTGTTGTGATATTACAGTGTTGAAATAACTACATTCTCCCACCTAGTAGATTGTAAGTGCTTGCACAGGAGGTGCACAAAGGGAATAAATTTTATTCATTTTTGTATCACCAGAGTACTTAAGAAAGTGCCTTAGAAACAGAGTAAGTCTATAATTAATATTTACTGAATTTAATTTAATATTTAAAGCAACATTCACGTAACACTTACAATTTTACGCTTGATCATAAAGAGTGGGATTTTAGCATGAAGAGGGGTTGAGGACAGTTCCTTATGGACCGTTGATAAATACAATCTTCTTTTGATGTTTCCTAAATCAGTAATTCTGAAAAAAAGAAATGGGGGAGAAGAGAAAGCCTCATCAATTTAATAACCACTTCTTTGGATAATCATTAAAATGATTTAATTTATCATGTAGACCCTTTCCAATAGGGAGATCAAACACAGAATTTAAGAATTACCTTTTTCTTTCAAGAAGTAATAAAATTTCTTCCTGAAATTCAAAGTACTCACAAGGCTGAATGTATAAATTCACTTAATATGCTAATTTATTTCATACTCTACACTAGATTTGCACAGTCCTTCAGACTTAAAAAAAAAATCAATTTGTATGAACTGAGAAACTGCTAGCTTTAATAACCCATGCTTGTTCCAGCCCTTAAACTTGTGTTATCTTGGGACATACTGTCACCTACTAAATAGGAAAACATTATGAGTTTCTTTCCCTAAAAATGCACTTGTCATTTTATATAGGCTCTTTGCCTGCTTAGAAACAGACACAAAGCACTGACTGTCGGTTTCACTTCCTAAGCATATATCTATGAACCCGAATTATAATACACAAGTATACTGCTCACTATTCAGGTCAACCCACAGTGATACGAAGGACATTGAATCTGAACATCTTTAACAGATTTAGACCACAGCCATGATCACAAAGATTAGGTCTGCTTCAAACTGATAGAGGCTCATTTTTACATTCTGTTTCCTTTAGGTCTCAGAGGTAACACAACAGGCATAAAATCTCCAAACCTGTCTCAGCCTGCTGTATTATAGAACTGATGCTTTCTTAAAGACTATCTTTTTACCTGAAAATAATCATTATTTTTTCATCTATTTTTAGCAACTATCTAGATGTACCATCCTGCTAATTTTCTATGATCAGTAATTCTCCAAACAGCCAAGATTTCATTCAAATATACTGTCAATATTGATAGCATAATGAACTATTTTTAAAATCAATACAGCCTATTCTTTAGCTCTTCCTTGCCTCCCTCTTACCACATTCCTCATCTCATTCTTTCCTCCCTCTAAAACACAGATCCTTCTGGGGAAAAAAAAAAAAAAAAACTACCATTGAACAATATCAAGAATAGCTATAGTAAAAATCAGGTAATATAATTTCAGAGTAGGCCCCCGACCTAAAAATTCTACCATACCTGCAATATACAATGCCATAAATGTACTTGAAAAAAAATAAAGTCTTTCAACCCAAAGAGATAAATTTTAAAATGCAAAAGTAATACTTCAGTATTACACTTACACATATAAGTAAATGTAGTATAACATTTACCATAAGGCAGTAATATGCCAAATGGGATTAGCACACGGGGATGGAGATGGGTGGAAGGGTGGTATGCAACACTAAAGTGCAGGAAGAAAATGCTACAACTTTCCTTCATCCTCTCCTTTTAAAATGTTATTTTAATGCACGTTTTATTATGAAGTAGTACAGCAACATATTTATGTATTTTCCAAATAAAGAGACGTACCTATATGGTAGGAGTGCTTAAACATTTTAGTAATGGGATACAGGATCGAAAATGTTTGGAAAGCACTGCATAAGGATGCTACTGGATCTCTTCTGTACGAAGCTATGATTAGGGAGTAACAGGAAACACTGCAGAGATTCTGGAGATGAAAACCTAACAGAAAGAGGGGTTGCATCACCCAAAACTCATCTGTGATAGTTTTATTAAAGGTTTGCTTTGTTTGCAGGGATAGCATACAACATAATTTCTATTTGAATTGGTAAAGGATCAAACTCCAAATGGAGGAATATCTATCACTTTATTGGCACATGAAGCTATAGGCCATTTCATTCATTCATATATTCCATAGACACTCACTGAGCCAGGCAACATGTTTTGGTATGGGAATACAATGGTGAGAAAGACAAGGTACCTACTCTCTCTGGAGCTTACAGTGGAAAAGGCAGATGACAAATACATAAGAGATACAATACAGGTTACCTAAATACAATGAATAAAATAAATAAGAGTTCAAGCTAGAAAATATCAAAAAACAACTTACTTCAGACAATAAAGTCAGCAGGGGTAGGAACTAGTAAACCAGGGGAACAGATAAGGTAGAAGGGGTATTTGACAGCTAAGTCTTAGATTTCTAGGCTAAGGTAAGCAGTTCATAAATTTATTGCTTCTAAAAAGAAGCTATTAGAGGGTCCATATTCTACTTTGCATAATGAATTGATATTAAAAAAATAAACACTATTAGTCTTTCTTATTTCATTATTAGGCTAAAATCCGTGTAATTGAAAGGGATAGGTTTTAGTGTATAATCTCATGTTTCGATAAATGTATGTAACCACCAAACTGATTTACAGAACACTTTCATAACCAGAAAGTTCTTTTCTAGTCCCTTTCAATCAATCCTCACATCCACAGGCAATCAATCCTCTGATTTCTGTCATCACAGAAACATGGAGGAACCTCACCACAAAGTTTTGCCTGTTCTTGACATTCTTGTAAATAGAAAGGTATACTATACATTCTTTTTTTCATTTAACATAATGTTCTTGAGTTCTTCCATCCTGTACCATATACCAAGAGGTATTTTCCCCCTACCTTTAGTTGTTGGATATTTTACAGATGTGCCAATGTTTACTTACTCATTCTGCTGATGGGCATTTGTGTTGTTTTCAGTTTTGGATTCTTACAAGTAAAGTCACTATGAACATTTTTGTAGATTCTTCTTGTGAACTTATGTCTTAGTTCTCTTAATAACTAGAAATGGGATTGCTGGGACTCTGAAGCTCGTATAACTTTATAGAAATAGTTCTTCAAAATGAATGAACCATTTTATACATCCACCAGCAATTCACGAAGTTCTAATGGTTGCACAGCCTCACCAGCATTTGATGCTATCAATCCTTTTTATTTTAGTCATTCTAGTGAGTATGAACCACCGACCACTTCTTGGAAGGAAGATTGGACATTCTACTTCCATAGAGATACAGCCTTGGAAACCCAAGGAGAGGTTGCTATGAGTCGGATTCAATGTGACAGCAGTGAGTTTGGTTTGGTTTGGTGAGTGAGTATGAAATGGATGAAAATGTATCATTACTCAAAAATGAAATGCAAGTAAAATCACAGATATAGTAGTTTCATATTCAATACTTTTACATATGCTTATTGGTATATCTCCTTTTGTGACATGTCTATTAAGTCTTTTCCTTAATTTTTTAAATGGGGTTGTTTTGTTATTCAATTTTAAGAGTGCTTTATATATTTTAGATACATATTTTTTGCTTTATAAATGTATCTGGATATATGTATGTACTGTAAATATTTTCTTAAGAGTGTCTTATTTAACTGTTTATTTTAAAATAATTTCTAACATTTATTGTATTCAACATTTTCTATATGCCAACATTGTACTAAGCATTCTATATGTATTATTTTACTTAATTGTCCCATAAATGCTGTAAGGTATCATCTCCATTTTACAGATGAGGAAACTGAAGTTTAAAAAATTTAGATATCCAGTCACACACCAAGCAGAGTCTGGATGTGAACCCAAAACAAATTAATTCCAGTGTCTACATTCTGAATCACTGGCTTTCTTTCTTTGGGGGATGGTGGTACCATGGGAGAATGATCTTTGCTACTAGGAACAAAATATTAAATAACTGATGGCTAAGAGTCCTACAGGTAGTTCTGATGGTGCAGTCATTAAAGCATTTGACTGCTAACCAAAATTTCGGAGGTTCAAACCCACCAGCTGCTCCACAGGAGAAAGATGAGACCATCTGCTTACATAAAGATTTACTGACTTGGAAACGCTAAGGGCAATTCTACTATGTCTTATAGTGTTATGAATCAGAATCGACTCAATGGCAGAGAGTTTGGGAAGAGTCCTACCCTGTACTGTCTTTAGACAGACATTGCCTATGCTTGCCATTTTTCCTTTTTTTTTTAAATTCTTACTTACGACCACCTCTGAGTCTTCTTCCCATTGACACATTTTTCATTTAAATATGTAAAACCAACAAGAACAAAACTTTAATACAAGTACTACTGACTGTACAATTAAAAGCTCAGACACTTATCTTATTTTCCTAATTTTCACATTCATAGGGGTGACCTCACTATGTAACTATAGGACACGTATATTTACCCTCCTCTGAGTTGCTAGTAAGGATCCCTGAGAATTACTGATTGATACCTGATGTGAACATCTGGGCTCAAACAGTGCTATAAGCTATTGCATCCTGTCAAAGACATTTTCCTAGTAGTTTTGTATCTATTTTTTCCTTTGGTTTTCATAGCCAGTGGCTAGCTCAGGTATTTTTTGTTGCTTGAAATAGCCTTCAATTCCCTCCTATTGTGGCCACCAGCCATGGAATTAAAGGTCACTCCCCAGCTCAAATTTCTCATTTGGCATCTTACGTTGTTAGGTGTCACAGAGTCATCTCTGACTCATAGTGACTCCATGCACGGCAGAATGAAACACTGCCCAGTTTTGCAACAGCTCCATGATCTTTGCAGTACCTGAGCCTGTCATTGCAGCCACTGTGTCAATCCATCTTGTTGAGGGCCTTCCCCTCTTTCATTGACTCTCTACCTTACCAAGCATGAGATCCTTCTCCAGGGAACGGTGCCTTCTTACAACATGACCAAAGTAGGTGAGACAAAGTCTGGCCATTCTTGCTTCCAAGGAGCATTCTGGCTGCACTTCTGCCAGGACAGATTTGTTAGGTTTTTTTGGCAGTCTGTGGTACTTCCAAGTATTCTTCACCAGCACCATGACTCAAAAGCATCAACTCTTCTTCGGTCTTCCTTATCACTGTCCATCTGTGTATATGAGGTGATTGAAAATACCATGGCTTGTGTCAGGAGCATTTTAGTCTTCAAGGAGACATCTTTGCTCTTCAGCACTTGAAAGAGGTCTTTTGCAGCCAATTTGCCCAGTGCTATACACCATCTGATGTTGTGACTGCTGCTTCCATTGGTGTTGATTGTAGAACCAAGTAATATGAAGTCTGAAAATTTCAACCTTTTCTCCATTTATCATGCTGCTGATTAT